CCTCAACCTTGTCCTCGTCCTTGGAGACAAGTCTTTAGAGAGACTCTTGTATCATTAGTAAATTTCTGTCAGATATTTTGGATGAAGAAGTGTTGCCTGCATTAGAAATACTTGTGGGGCACAGAACTAATAAATTATGAAGAAGTTCGGGGAGGGGAGTGCAGAAATTAGTGGCAAATGGGCAAATTTATTGGGGTGGTAAGCTGCCTATAACTCCAGCCCTCAGAAAATCTCCCCTAACTGGCTCTTTCAGGTCTGATCAGTGTTTATTATAAAGCCTTTTGCATACAGTTTGTGTATCAGGGATAAGGAGCCTGTTACTATTTTCATGGCAAAACCGTATGTCCCACAGTATCCTTGGCTTAAAAAAAGAAACCAACATGTTCTTAAATTGATGTTTGTACTATTATAATTTCTTTTGCTCTCTTCCTTATTTATGGTCTACTTCCGTTGTGAAGACAGTTTTTTCCGCCCTCATAATGACTTCCTTTGTGTCTTTATTCACTTCATCATAGTCTGTATGTCATTCTTGATGTTTAGAATTCTATTTCATGATCATTTTGTAGTATTTGTCCATTTTTTCTCTTACAACACAACTCTCCAAAGAGGTGTTTAAATGGGTGCCCACCAAATTGTGAGATATTTGATGTACTTGCTGTCCAAATCTTTTGCATTGCATTGATATCTATATCAAAAAATTAAGACCATACAGATTAGCAGTTGTTTTAACTTTAGTGTCCATTTCCGCTGTTTTATTGTTACTGTTTCAGCTAAAATAGTTTGGTTTTATATTTTAATCTGGAATTCTGTGGTAAAAGTTCAGTTTTCACTGGTTTTTCAGTTTCATCAGTCCCATCCAGGTGCCAAGTTACATAAATTGGTTCACAGCTCATCAGACTCCTATTGACTTAGAGAAGTTACATAACCTGCTGAAATTTGTGGCTATTTTGAGCTGGTCAAAAATACCACTCTGTACAAAATACCTTCTGAAGTGCTATCATTCATGCTTCTTTCTTATTATAGGTCAGATGAATGGGTGCTAAAGGGAATCTCAGGTTATATTTATGGCCTTTGGATGAAAAAAACCTTTGGTGTTAATGAGTATCGCCACTGGATTAAACAGGTACATAATAGTAATGTTTTCTATATATTTTAGACGTTTTACATCAAAGAAGATGTAATATAAAACCAGAATATCATACAGTTTTGCACTACAATCTAAAAAAGTGACAAAACTTAGAGCCAGACTATTTTTACCACTGCTGCAAGGAAAAATACCAAATATATTAACGAAAATACAATTTTGTGACTGCCTTATGAATAATAATTTTTGTTTGTGCAGTTAATTTTCCTCTTTTTGTTTGGGCTTTTGCACAAAAACAGAAAGAAAAAGACAAAAAAGATTGTACTTTTTAAACACTTGGAATAGAATATCAGATTCATAAGGAGATACATTTGGTGAATTTGTTATACTGTGATGGCCATCCATACAGCTCAGAAGGGCTCCACTGTTAGCTTGGATCAGTAGTGGATCATGTATCTTTTAGTGTCATTTAAGTACTAAATGAAATAATGAAACAGTAAAAAATCCTCATTGAAGGGATTTCCTCTCTTGTAAGATATAAACAGAAATTTCTTTTCCATTTCCACATGCAGTGCTCAGACAGGTACTTTCTAGTGATAGCAGCAGTGACTCTTCATTCTTTGCCAGTAACATTCATTCACAGAAAGATGTATATCTTCTTCTGCTCCCTCAGCACATTCTTTTACCCTTGCTTTTCCAAATACTAGATTCCTAACCCCATGTGCTCCACTTACATCCCTTACTCACATGGGGACCCAGTACCCTGTCCTTACCTGCTTAATATGTGTTCAGTTCATTAGTCTTGTGCTGTCTGTGCTAAAGGTGTGGGTGCTATAGAGGACAGCAGAACTGGATGAAGGTCTGTGTGAGAGTTCACTGCTGTGTGTGCAAGAGAAGTTCCTTCTGGATATTAGCTGCTCATTTTCTTCCCTATGAGTTAGCTAGGTGCTTCCACATAGAACTGACAGGTGCTTCTGTCACAACCTCCAGTTCTGTCCTTACTGCTTTGAATGTATGGTCAATATATGAAAGTGCATAACTAGATACGAATCAATAAATATCAATACATACCAACATTTGGAAATACTTTGACTAAGATTGGCTTGCAGACAGACATCAATTCCCTCTCCCTATGCTAAGGCTGACCCAATTTGATCCAAAAGCCCTGTTGACTGTTGGGTGATAGTGAGCCCATGCAAACCATCCTGCCTTTGAAGTGTGCTTGTTAACATGGGCACAGCACCACACAAATTCAAACTAATGTTCCAATTCAGAACCGGCTTCTGCCTGGCATGGCCATGGGTCAAGGTGACATTCTATATGCTGCAGTCTACTCTGTAGGTATACCCAATATTACTTTCCACTGCGAGGAAATGGTGATCACCTTTATTTCTTTGTGTCAGAGACAATTTATTTGTTGAACAATACTCTTGAGATACATTATAGTTAAATATTGTTGTGGGTTGACGCACAGTGAAGACTCAGAACAGGTATTAGCTGCTAATTTCTACTGGTTTATTATTGTTTGCCATGCTGAGAAACATCCCTGATTTTAAAATGCTCGTTGTGTTTGTAAAACAAGTTTCATTAGGAGATACGGCTTGAACAATGATACAAAAAGTTTTCCTGTTGTCTTTAAATAATTTCTCTACTTTTCAAAACTATGCTTGCTTACGTATGTTGTACTTTTTAGGAGTTAGATCAAATAGTGGCATATGAACTGAAGACTGGTGGAGTTTTACTGCATCCAATATTCGGAGGAGGAAAAGAGAAAGACAAGTATGTTTGTTTAAGCCGCAAGTCATTACAGGGTATGTTTTTATGGGGCCATTAATATATGCCTTGGGTGTGTTGTGTAGCAAGGCCAAAGGCTGAAGAACTTCAGCTGCCCAAGGCATGTATTACCAGCCTCATAAAGTACCTCTTGAGTATATTGTATCACTGTTGTTTTATTTTTCTTTCACTTTAAATCTTGACGGGAATTAAGCATAATGAATGTTTTTAATGCTGTTACAAAACTACTTTTTAGTAAGAGGATGAGAGAGAAAATGGAGCCAGAATTTTGACCTGAGCTATTTCTGGAGTGGCTAGTAATCTTTAGGCTTTTTAGAGTATCATCAGTTTTCTTTGTCTTTGCTCTTTTTCTTTCTACTCTCAGTTACCACCTTGCAATCTTATACTGAGATTTCTTTTCAGTTGGGAAAAAAAGTATTAGATTGGTTATTTGTGAAGTGCCATCAGTTAACTGTGAACTGGCTGGGTTTCTATTTTCCCAGTCACTGTAGTTTCAGTATTGCTAGCTTAGGAATTTTCCCCTTACCTCTTTTGTGAGACTCCTGTACTACCCACTGAGTAGCGCTAACCACTGGAGGTAGAAAGAAGGCTAACCACTGGAGTTAGAAAGAAGAAGACTAGAAGACAGGTCAGTAAGTTGATCCGGGTTTCAATGACAACCTTTTGCTGGGGTTTTTCTTTTCTTGGATAAATTAATCTAGTTATGGCACAGCCTCACAAAGAGTGCTGTTGGGAAACTTAGGAGCAGCATGTGCAAAACTGTGAGGTTGAGTATATGCAGGCTGAGTGGGAGAATATGTGAATTTCTTAAGTCTTCATTGTGCCCCTGTATTATGAAAATACAACTGAAATTGTCTGCAGCAATGGTTCTTTTGCATTTGAGTGTGTACAAATCCAGGTTTTGTTCATTTAAAATTGAAACTCTGGATTTAGAACTTAATCAAGCATACAAATAACCCATTTAAAATTTGAATAGTGATCTTTTTTGAGAGATATAAAAAGAAGAGTTTTCTGAAATCAGGAGTAGGACATATGGGCTGGTTGCCTAGCCAGGTGAATTCTCAACAACTACCTGTTTTCTGGATGTTGACAGTCACAGATGCACCTTGTGTATGTACACCAAGCCATTACTCAGTTTTGCTTGTCTGCTCATGGTGGATTTTGATTTAGTTCACTGTCTTGTAATAGTGAAGCAGACCAAGTGCCTAGATGCCTTTATTACATATACCTCTGAAAATGAAGTTACAGCTAGCAGCAGTCATTTTAGGCATCCTATTGGTGATGGTGTCTTTTGTTTTTAAAGGAAAATTTGGGGTACTGAATTATGTCTTCTCAGTATTTTCAGTTGGCAGCATTACAATTTGGCAGCATACTCGTCTATATAGATAAACTAAATTCAGATTAATAGGATCAGATGAAATTAGAGAAAAAGGGCACATTCAAAAAAAAGAAATTTACTAAAAGTAAAGTTTCATTGTAACTGTTAATTTTATTAGTTTTATTCTGTTTATTCCAGATTTGAACACAAATAATTGAAAAAATCCTGTTCTAATGCTCTTAACTGTATCCTTCCTCTATGTGATTTATCACTGTTAGATACTATTTCTACATCTCTTTCACTACTTCATTGTATTGCAGCTAGTTAATACTAATCATAATGTCACTTAAATATAAAATACAGCTTGCTGTTTCTTGTAGATTGCAAAGTTCCTTTGTATGTAAATTAAGTATATGTTCCAGACTCTGGGAAATGATTCATATTTTGGGGGGTATTTCCATAATGATGTCTAGAACATTTCTCTCCAATATATTTATTGTTTTGTTGTGGTTGTTATGATATGGTTTCCTGACAAGCATATTTGCATTACAGCAGTCCCAATTAATAGTAATATGAAGAAAAAAAAGGTCAGTTAATAATACCATTTTTCAGCTAAATTAGAAGTGGAATATGGAAAGAAATCACTGGGAAAAAATAACTTCTTTCAGACACATGAATTAATTTCTGTGCAAAACACAGGTCTCACAGATTCTTCCTGTTTTATGTCTAGTGAAACACAAACGCTACTCTCCAGAACATTTATTTTAAAACAAAGGTCCTAAAGGTTGGGAAAATGAAAGAAAGGAAACTGCAGGTTATCTGCTGCGTGGATGGGAGTTTCAAAACAAAGCTTTGTTTGTTACATTTTCATTTTGTGTTCTCCCCTCTCAGATTTTGTCTCTCTTCAGTCTTTGATTGTACTGGCACCACCCTGTTGTAAAAGTTAAAAACATGAAGAAACTTATGTGGATACATTTCAAATGAAAGAAGCATATTGACAGGTTTACATGGAATGACTGGAGTGTGTTCAATAGTGTGAGCATTACAAATTTCCATGGAAAAGCTAGTTCAGTTTTCATTTTGACAAAGGTTTTAGGTCCATATTGCTAACTTTAATTCTCGTTTGGTGCCAATTCAATAAAAATTTTAGAAGTCTAATGATTGAAGAAAAATATAATCAGAATAAATGTATTAATATGGAGCAAACTTGTCTCAGTTTTGATTTGCAGTTAAATAATGTAACCAGTACCAAAATCAATCAACACTTAGTAAATTTAAGGCAGCCAAGAATGTGGGACCTGGCTTGGTTGTAATTTTCAAGAAAAGAATTTTACCAAAGTCAATCAACTGTATAATTTGAAGCTGGATACATAGTTTTATACTGAGACCAAATTATTATATAATGTCTGAGCCACAACCTCAGTTTCCTCCTTGCATTTCAATTCTTTCATGGTTGCTAACCCTTCCCTACCTTAGAACAGAAAAGTATCCAAAATAACAGGACAATTTTGATAAGAGGAACTTTAACAATTGTCTACCAACTAGACACAGCAAGTAGTAAACCTAAGTACCTTCTTATTCGTATACTCAATCTACTTAAGAAGGGCAGTACTTGCTTAAATTTAGAAATAATTTTTTTTCTTTATCTTGTTAAGATGTATAAACAGACATTCATGAGTGAAGTCAAGGTTGTTTCCCAGTAAAGAAAAGGGTGGGGGGAAAAAAAATATTAAGGTGTTGCAGCTACCTTAGTTTTTGCCATCTGAAATCTTAATAGCTGCAGATAAGGAGCCAAGTGCCTGGTCCTGTCCTGGTAGAATATTTCTTGCTGGCATAAGTCTGTCAACTGCATAGAAAGATTGGTCAAAGTTAAAATGGTTTATTTAATAGGTCTTTGAAGGTTCTGGAAGATCAGTCTTTTACTGAGATAGCTGGCATGAAAGATCAGGTTTAAAGTGCTTGTCTTTGATTTTTACAATTCATGAATTATTCCATTCTGTCTTGCAGTGTTGTCTTCTAAAGTCCTTGGACAAATCAAGTGCCTGGTCCATCTTGAAACGGTTTAGTTAGGTTCTCTATAAGCAAGAATCAGAGGGGAACAATCAAATTTTGAACCCAGAAATTTTGGGTAGCTGGCATTTTCTATGTCCAATGGCTAATTTGCGATTCTCTGTTAATCAGCATAAAATAAGTCTGGATTCACACATACGAAGTTGGCCTGACATGGTGTGGGTCTTAAGGTGTTTTTTATTTGTTCATGGAAAACTCAAGTGTCCAGTGAAAAGTACCAAAAGAAAAAACATAGCACAACAAAATACAGTTGCCACAGCCTTGGTTCATCAGTAAAATGAAGTCAGAATTCTAATTATCACTCCTTTTCACTTAATTGGAAGGGGCCAAAAAGGTCTTTTGTTTTTCTTGAGAATTACAGTAGTACAGCTACTTTCCAGCTTTGAAACTGGGCTATAGATCAGAATGTTTGTGTTCTGAAAAGTAAAACTTGGAGTAGAAAATTAATTTTAAAGCCCATCAAAATTAAGTCTTTTAGTGTTTTATTACTGTACAGCTGCTAAGGCTATCCAGAAATCAGTTCTGTTTTTAAAAGTTTCACGGTTTCACCATCTGTCTGTCTTCTGATATGGAATGAAATTAAACCATTTAAAATATTTTGCTTATAGACACAAAGGATATGTGTGAAGGAGCACCACAGATAGTTCAAGTTATGGAAACAGTGTGGCAGCTGTAACATGATGCTCTGCCTAGTCTTCCTTGGCATATTATCTGATTTAGAAGACATCGGTTTGCCAAAGTATTGAAAGCATAAAGTTGCTAACTAAAATAAAAAGCAAGCAATTCCTTTGGCTCATCACATGAAAGTCTGCTGTGAATTTTAAAACTCTTACTTTTCTTGCAATTGCAAGAAAATTGCAAACAATTGCAACAATTGCAAAATTGCAACAATTACTGATTTGGATATGAAATAATCACTATGTACAATCACTTTTAAATGGAAGTGGAGCAGGGGGAATATCAATTTATGAGTAATTTCCAGACTCGGGTCACAGATTTCCTTCTTCTGGTACTGCTACCACTGTCTTTACAATAATACACAGCATGTATTACCTGTCATTGTTCTCTGTACAGTATTTGCTGTATGCCAGCTACCTACACCCATGTCACCTTTCAGTTACAAGCGTGTGGACGTTTTAATCATGTCATAATTTATAACTTCAATGCAGTAGAAGAGATCCTAAATAATTGTTGGTGCAGCTAGAAGCTTGGTTGCTAAGGTTTATTTTAAGTTTCATTCCATAAAATGCAAAATAGAGAGCTGGGATTTTTTTGTTTGTTTGTTTTTTTCAGCCCTGCGTCACATTTACATTTTTCTATCAAACACCCTCATACACTGTCCTGGGAATATTACACTATGTTCCAGTGTAAAGCACATCTTGTTATGAGGCTGATTGAGAACAGGATTAGCATGGAGTTCATGTTACAGGTAAGTATTTAAATGAGTATGTGGAATATATACAACTTTCTAGTCACATTTCTATTCATTAAATGATGTTTAAGAAAAAAAAAACATGTCGTCTTAGGATTCCATTTGCATTTTCAGTTTTTAGCAGGATAGAACAAGCATAAAATGTAGGTCATTTGTATTGGAATAAGGTCAGCTATTATTCTTATACATAACTTTTAATACTTATTGCATATTCTCTTTAATGTTAAGATATTTCACTGCTTTGGGTTATTGTGATCGTTTGTTAACACTGACGACCTGTTTTACTGACCCTAACTGGTGTTGCTGAGAGCTAATCTATTCAAATTATAAATCATGAAAGTAATGAGAATCCATCTTCTGCTCTCTCCACTGTATAAAATTTTCAGTGCTAGAAGGAGCATAGAACTTTATTGTAGAAGAAGCAGTTGAACAGAAGATTGTTGTTTTATTCTGAAATGCTAAAATTCTGCAGAGTTGTAGTTTTTCTTCTTTACTAAATATGTTTTGTGATATGCCTTAAAAAAGATAGGATGCTACAGAAAAACACTCAATTAGAAACTGAATTATACCTTTTCCTATCAACTTCAGGTTTTTGTGTGTTTTTTTGGCTTGTTTTGTATTTTGAAGAATAATATGTATGTGCTTGTGCTAGAGCTATTATAACCAGTTGTTAGGCTGAAAATATAGCGGATGCACCTTTTTTAAAGCTTTCCTCACATAAATTTTAATTATTCTTTGCAGTTTTTAAAAAAAGAATAGCAAAGCAGAGAACTTGATGACTGTTTTATTTCTAAAATGCAGATATAGTCAGTAATCTGTTTTAGTGTAGATAATTTTTGAAAGCTGATGGTCTTTTAGTAGTTTTTTGTATATTTATATGTAACTTCGAGGAATTTGGTTCTTTGAAAAAGCTCTGGTGGGAAGAATTGATTAAAAATGCAGCTCTTACTTCCTGCACTGTAATTTGGTAAATAAAAGCCACACCTGCTTGCAGTGACTAACCTCACAAATTGCATGGTTTTGAAGTATAGAGGTGCTTAGAACTAGAAAATGGATGTCAAAAAGTGTTTCTGTATTTCACTTTGAATTCAACTCTGTTAAAAGCTGCGTGATAAATTGTACCGGTAGCAGTGATGAGTAAAGAAGACATTTTAAGTTTAATTTTGTTAAAATTAAACATTTCTCATGTTAAGAAGCTTAGGTTTCAGAGGTTTCCTCAGCATCATGGATGGTTTGCCTGAAGTAAAAATACATTTGTGTCTGCAAGTCATGATTTCTGATATGGACAAGAAAATAATTTTCTGAAATGTCTTTATTTTGGAAGACTTTTTTTGAAGCCAGTTATCAGAGAATGAGTTTATTGGCCTATGAGTTTATTTACTTACAAGTTTTATTGGAATTGAGTTGCAATTTAGTTGCAACTAAACAGAAAAGTTTATTTTATATATTGAAGTATTTAGTGAAAGTAATAACTTTTTATCATTTTAGGTTTTCAACAAGTTGTTGAGTCTGGCCAGCACTGCTTCATCTCAGAAGTTCCAGTCACACATGTGGAGTCAGATGTTGGTTTCCACATCTGGGTTTTTGAAATCTATCTCAAATGTCTCTGGCAAAGACATCCAACCTTTAATAAAGCAATGGGTGTATCCTTTTTATTCTTGGTCTGGATTGTTAATATGGAGAATGAATTTGTTTCTTAATTGGCACTATTAAAGGAATGTGAAGAAAGGTATGAAGTATCTTTGTTTAAAACAGTTAAGTACCTTATTCTTTGAATTAGAAATAGATGTGAGCCACAGGTTCACACTCCCTTCATAGTCATTTAGAGTATGCTAGCTTTTTTGGGTGTTCTTTATAGGAGGGATTTCATGATTTTAAGTTTTACTTTGAAAGAAGCACAAGAACTCTGCTGGCATTTAAGGCCAAATTATACTAAAGGGATTCCAGAGGACACTGCCCATAGAAATATGCTGAAGTCTGACATGGAAAATGCTATAGTCTGGTGCATTTTAAGATGTAATTTCCAGTAAATCACCATGAAATAAGTAACCTAAAGTGCAGATTGATAGTTTCAAATACACTAACATTTAATAACTTGGTAGCTTGTGTTGATATTAAAATTTCAGGTAAAATAAACCTCTCTGTGTTGATTCTTCAACTTTCAGTGACATTAGTCAAGAAATAGGATTTCTTATTTTGGATGGATATGAGCATAAATTTGAATTTGCTCCATTTATCGTTATCCATTTAAGCTTTAATTAACATGACTGCAGGCTAAAATCATATGTGACTGCAGCAAAACCATACTTTACTGTTCCAACAGAAAACAAAAGTAGGTATTTATATTTAGACATTATTTATTTGAGCTGACTTAGTAATGTCATGCATCTCAATATCTAACTAAAAATGCTGTATAATTAATATTTATAAAGTCATATGAGAAGTTAGTATTTTATCTGCATCAAAAGAATTCATAAACTATAAATATATAGAATATATATATTCTAATTTCCCTACTTAGCTGTGCTAAGCTCTTGAGGAAAATAGGGGTTCTATATGTACATATATTCACACTGGAGCTATACCTAAATGTCAACATTACTGTCTGAGCTAGGTGAGTCTTAACTATGTCTGTTCTGTAAACAAGGAAGAATTGTAACTCTCAGTTTTGGGGATTTTTCAGCCTCTCTGGACTTTGTCCCCAAGGCTGATCCTGTTAACTGTAACTTGTGTTTAATCCTATGGTTGTAACCTCCCTAACATGCTTCAAACACAGTTGCACCTGTGATAGTAGATTTTCCACCTTGTAAGACCACAGCAGGTTTTTGTATTGTTTGGGCGAGTACCTTACTACTATTGACTAGTGCTGTCTTATGCTATTAACGAGTGCTGTGTTGGTGTGGAGTTTAAACCTTGTGCTGAAGAAACCACTAAAAATGCCTTAAGCTCTATCTGATGACAGCCACAGACCATTATGAGGGCAGCCACCATGAACAGAACTAGTCTGAGGAATCTAGCCAAATGATCACATTTTGGGAGAAAAATTAATAATGCGTATACAATAAGAAGCCTGTTGGAATCTGTCAGCTCCTGCCTTAAATGTCAGGACATGAAAGAACAGGTTTTCCTTCATTACTTTTGTCTTACATCATCAGAGACTTGTTGGGAGCATGCACTAGGCTAAAATACTTCATTCTCGTGTTTTAGTTTTACTATAAATGAAGTGTAGTAATGACTGTCATGCAAATAATGAATTATGAAGTTATTCACAGGAACAGTTAACTTTAAGAAATAGTTGCCTGGGATAAAAATGCAGAGTGAGATCATTACTTTTTATCAGTCATACTGTATACTCTCATGTATGTGTGAACTCATATATTTCACACATGTGGATGCTCACAATGACCCAGTTAGAAAAATTGAAATAAAATAATTGAGTTAAATGTAGTGTGGGTAGAAAACAGAAGCTAAAGTCTACATTCTCCCCTGAGTTCTATTTAACTGAAATACATAGTAAAATCGTATTGAAATTACTGAAGTCTCACTCAATTACTTTCTCTGAGAGCATGCCAAGGATGTGGTGGGGTCCAGTATAGTTTTTCATAATGACTTTTTTCTTACTAGATAATTTTCATTGTACTTCAGTTTTTCTCCATAAGGTACATGATTGTACATTAACGAACTGCTTAAAGAAAAAAAAAAACCTTAGAAAGTTCATGAACAAACATAAGCGTTTTAATTTCCTGATTTGCTGGGGATAGGAAATTCTAGGAATAAAGAAGCATAAAGCAAGTGTAAAGAGTGAAAACACTGAGAATTATGTTAGTTTATAACTACTGCATTGTGCACTAAAATTCCTATACTGCTTATTAGGGATCAGAGTGGAGTGGTAAAATTTTATGGTAGCTTTGCATTTAATAGAAAACGGAATGTATTAGAATTGGAAATAAAACAAGACTACACATCTCCTGGCACTCAGAAATACGTGGTAAGGTTAATTTTCCATATTTTACTTACACATACAAGTATGATGTATACATTAATAAGCATACCTTTAATGTTAATAACAAAATCTTGTGAACTTGAAGGGTCCTCTGAAAGTGACAGTGCAAGAACTTGATGGATCATTCAACCATACATTGCAGATTGAAGAAAACAGTCTTAAACATGACATACCTTGCCATTCTAAAAGCAGAAGGTAAGAATTAAAATACAAATTGCAAATATTTTTAGTATGGATATATGAAAACACATAGTGCATTGATGATAAATACATGCTTTTTAAATTTTGTGTTTATATTTTGTTAATCTTACTGAATAAGATTTACCTGTGATGTAAGAGGAGAACGTAGAATTTACTATTGTTTATGGGCAGCAAGAAACCGTACATTTTATATGCAGGTCTTAATTAAAAGTAAAGGTCTTAAATTTTATAAAAGTTTTACAAAGAGCTTAATTATATAGAACCATATCCTGGTCTTCATGAAAAGCTGTGTGGCCAGCAGGTTGAGGGAGGGGATTCTTCCCCTTTACTCCACTCTGGTGAGGACCCATCTGGAGTCCTGCGTCCAGCTCTGGAGCCGTCAGCACAGGAGAGACATGGACCTGTTGGAGCGAGTCCAGAGGAGGCCACAAAAATGCTCAGAGGGATGGAACACCTCTGCTGTGAGGACAGGCTGAGAGTGTTGGGATTGTTCAGCCTGGAGAAGGTGCTGGGGAGGCCTTATTGCAGCCTTCCAGTACTTCAAGGGGGTTTATAAGAAAGATGGAGACAGACTTTTTAGTAGGGCCTGTAGCAACAGGACAAGGGGTAATGGTTTTAAACTAAAAGGGAGTAGATTTCGACTAGACCTAAGGAAGAAGTTTTTCACACTGAGGGTGGTGGAACACTGGCCCAGGTTGCCCAGAGAGGTGATAGATGCCCCAACCCTTGCAACATTCCAGGTCAGGTTGGACGGGACTCTGAGGAACCTGAACAAGTTGAAGATGTCCCTGCTTACTGCAGGGGGGTTGGACTAGATGACCGTTAAATGTCCTTTCCAGCCCAAACTATTTTATGATTCTATGATAAATTGAGTTGAATGAAGACTCTAATTATAATCAAATTATTCTAAGTGCCTTTGAATGGGAAAGACAAATTAGAGGGAAGACAAATGTAGGCCAGAGGAGTACCTCAAGTGAAGATACATAAATGAAGCCCTTGCAGAGTTTTCCTTTTCTGTGAAGAGTGCCAGGACTGTTCACTAGACCTAATGAGCAAGAGAAGTAACATACTTCCCAAATAAGATTCTCTCCGTTTCCTAATGCATTTTAATAACTACTTTGACCTCTACTTCTCAAAGTTGTATGCTTATGTGTAATTGGTTTAAACTTGACTCCCACCATTTTTACAATGTAAAGTATTGCTGGCTATTTGAACAAAACTCATACACAGGTCAGCTTTTTGAGTATTTTTCACTGGAGAGAACATTATTTTCTGTTGTGGTGAAATACACAGAGTACTTTTGCAGAGTTAGGCTCCATCTATAAACATACCCTTGCTAGTGTGGTTGTCCTGGTTTAACACCAGCCAGCAACTGAGCACCACACAGCTGTTTGCTCTCTCCCCCGCAGTGGGTTGTGGGAGAGAATCGAAAGAGGGTAAGTGAGAAAACTCATGTGTTGAGATGAAGGTACTTTAATAGGTAAAGCAAAAGTCATGCACACAAGCAAAGCAAAACAATGAATTCATTCACCACTTCCCATGGGCAGGCAGGTGTTCAGCCAACTCCAGGAAAAAAGGGCTCCATCACGTGTCACAGTTACTTGAGAATACAAATGCCATCACTCCCAATGTGCCCCCTTTCATTCTTCTTCCCCCAGCTTTATATGCTGAGCATGAGTCCATATGGCATGGAATATTGTTTTGGTCCATTGGGATCAGCTGTCCCAGCTATGTCCACTCCCAACTTCTTGTGCGTCCCCAGCCTGCTCGCTGGTGGGGTGGTGTGAGAAGCAGAAAAGGCCTTGACTCTGTGTAAGCACTGCTCAGCAATAACGAAAACATCCCTGTGTTATCAGCACTGTTTTCAGCACAAATCCAAAACACAGCCCCATACTGGCTACTGTGAAGAAAATTAACTCAAGACCAGCACCATTTCCTAAATAAATATTTTTTTCTATTTTCTCTTTTTTAATAGAAATAAGAAGAAAAAGATTCCACTGATGAATGGAGAAGAGGTGGACATGGACCTTTCTGCTATGGAGTAAGTTAGCTTGTTGGAGTTTCTCATTGTGAGACAGCCATGTTCCTCTTGTCTGAAAGCATGCTGTTTTGAAGGATTTGATAGTAATGTTGTACTTCATTTTATGACTGGCTATTTCATGTCTATACCACATTTCTTTGCCACCTTTGCTACTCTTCTGTAGCTGGGAAAATGCTGGTGAAGTGTAAAATGTATGGGTTAACTACTATAATCAGTTTTAAAAAATCTTAGGCATGATAAGGTGGTAGAATAAATTACTTGATTCTTTCTTACACATTTCTAATGATACCTTTCAGCTGACTTTAGGTAAAATATAAACAAGAATTTGCTTAAAACAAAGTAAGAGCAATTTGTGTTGGACCTCAGTGAAGACCATTTAACTAGCACTAAGATAGACAAGTACCTGAAATCTGTGGTTAGTTCCAAAAGAATTCTTTTAAACTGAAAATAAGTGATGAAATGCTTCATCCAGAAATTAATAATGGCATTAATTTCAGTAGGAACTGTTTAGCTCTTTGGAAGGAAATTCTTGCTCAGTGTAAGTACCCACTTTACCCTCCTTGAGTTGGAGCAAGTGGTGGTCTCAGAAATACTGAAGGTGTTGGTACTTTGTGCTGGCTGAGGGAAGTAATCTGCTCTTGAAAACTAGTGGTATCTCTTTGAAGAAGGATAGACTGCTTGTCACCTTAAAAGTGTTTGAGATTCTTGTAAATTCAACCTCATCTAACATACAGAAATAATTTTATAAGGGATATTTTCATTGAGCAAGTAATTGTTATCAGTTCTATATGATAGCTGACGTATGAATAAATAGTTTTTTAATTATATTTAAGAGCAATTAGCATAAATATTTGTGAGTAGTTCTGATCAGTTATGTTCAGGTAGCTATTGCATTACACCAAGCTGAGACCTTAAAGATCTTCTTAAAACTACCTTTGAACTGATATATGATTTTGTGCAAGTCATTTATGCATTGTTTTATCTGCTAACCAATCTGCGATGCCGTTGTGCTTTTGTCCATTTTGGACTCCTCTGCTCCAAGCATGTATGATAATGTTCGTTCTTTTCTGTTAAATCCTGTGTATTGCACTCTTCTTTTCACTATCCTTTCTTCTCTAGCTACTATCTTGACAGTAATTCTAGATATTCCACAAATGTATATAGAAATATGCATCATATTTATAATGATGCTCTTTTCATCATTCCAAACTCTCTCCTAATTCTCTATCTGTATTCTGATGTTATCAATTTTATGTGGAAAACTGAATAAGAGACTTTATTATATAGTTTGTGCTTGTTGCTCCCATAAATTACTTCTGCAGTCATGGTGCTGTGTGAATACTAAAGTATAAAACGCTTCTTTGGGTGGATTACAACTGAGTAATTTTATCTGTAGGACTAAAACTTTAATCCTGTCTGTTGATACTTTTACTTTTATCATCATTTGGTTTGGCAGTTCTGTGTGTTTGCATGGTTACCCTTGTCAGCTTTCAACATCATAGCGCGTGTGTGTTTGTAAAGCACTCTCACATCTATTGATAATAAACAGTGTATAAAAAAACCCTGGGTGTTTACAACCAGATTTTCTTTGTTGGATTTTTTTTTTTGGTAGTCTTAAATTGTAGAAGCTGGTAAAGTGCTGCTCACCTGTGAAAGTTAACAGTGTCTGCGGAAGTAGAATTAAATCTATTGAGATTACACAGTAGTTTACCATGAACTCAGGTCTGTAGGTTAAAAATAATAAAACACTGTATTCACTTGGACATATTAGAGGTTTGGACAGATTGCCCTGGGAGGCTACAGAATTGCCATCCCTGAAGCAGGAGATTGGACCAGGGGACTTTCGAAAGTCCCCTATAACTTACATTCTTTTATGGTTCTTTGACTCTAAATACTTTAAAAATAACTCATAACAAGTTAGAACATCTTTTGAATTTCTGTAGTCTTGAAATGTTGTAAGCTATTAATGTTTTTCATGTCTGTCTTAGTGCTGATTCCCCTTTGCTCTGGATAAGAATAGACCCTGATATGTCAGTACTGAGGAAGGTAGAATTTGAACAATCTGATTTCATGTGGCAGTATCAGCTTCGATATGAGAGAGATGTGGTTGCACAAGAAGAAGCCATCCTGGCATTGGAAAAGTTCCCTACTCCAGCATCGCGGCTTGCACTGACTGATATACTAGAACAGGAACAGTGTTTCTACCGGGTGAGAATGCTGGCCTGCTTCTGCCTTGCAAAGGTGAGATTGTGTGGATGAGAGTAAGGGAAGAAATCCATTAGACATTGTAAATGTTTGAAAATGGGTCAAAACTCATCACAGTTCTTAAACTGGCTTGATATTTAGCCTCTGAAAAGTGTTTGCCAAGTATTTTTAACATGACTGATTTGAAAGGAAAGCTGTATTATTTTAGTCTGTAAATGGAGACTGCAGAAGGCTTTTATAATTGTCAAAATTGAGATGTCAGACATGAAAACCACAAGGGATTTTTCCAGATTTCATTAAGTGGCAGAAATAAAAGACTTTTGTTTAATATTTTTCAGAGCCAAAATGTATTTTTTTATTTTACTGGGAAGTTCCTTGGCCCGTCTGTTAAACTCTGAAGCACTGAAATTCATCTGTCTGTCTAATGTGAATTTAGATTGCTGCTCGATGTTATTTCAGATTGAATAGGGGCACAAAATGAACATCATGTTGGTCCGCAATTAAATATTAAAAAGCCAAATAATTGCCTTGAAAAGGGAAGATTTTTTTTTCTACATTAGCATTAAGAATGAAAACTAGAGCACCCTATAAAACAACTGGGTGGAAACACAGCAGAATAAGAATTTCTCAAAAGGCATGTTATTGACATACTTCTGTGGACATAAAGGCATTACTAACAATTTATAGAGTTCAGATTATTGGCATATAGCTTGCTTTCTGCTGTGTACCTGTTGAGAATAGTTTAGTGCCTGTATAGAAATAAATCCTTTGGCCATATTTTGAAAATCAAAACCCAAGAAATGTTTGTGACAAAGTATTTTAGTATTATGAAACACTGATGTAATACTGCCAGTGTATGTTCTAGTATTGGTACTGCCAGTATCTGCCTTAAAATATGTACGTTTCATAATGAATTCATTTGGAATATTTAAAAGTGTATATTCCACAGGTAAATATTAAAGAGCAGCTGTTAGAATGTTTAAATGCAATTTTTTTTTTCTGTCTTTACTTTGAATTCTCAGGCAACTGGGCTGCAGATGATCATAACCAGTTTTGCTCAATTGTAACTGTATGAAAAATTTTGGGTCTAGAGATAAGGTTGTTGACTTGCAGAAAAAAGGTTATAAAGTTAAGCAAAAAATGTGGCAGTGATGTTGAATCATGGTGAAGGTGCACTGCAGGACAGAGTTGTAGTTACGTTCACGTAAGTTACCTATGAGGAAAGTGTAATATATTCTATTACTAGTTCCAACATCAGGGTGTTAGTAAGAATCACCTCCTGTTGTCATTAACTCAGTTTAATTTTCACAGCTTGTAAAGTATTCAGGCTTTGTATCCTTTATTAAAAAAAAAAAACAGGTCCCTCATATTTATGAGGGTGAGGGTTATTTTTTGTTGATTTGTAACTTCTAGCTGGATTGTGGTTACTCTTGTAAAATGTTTTTGGTGTACTCATGTTGATACAGAGAAGTGAGAGGTGATAATGCAACTATAAAACTGAATTTACTACTTCCGAAATGTACTGTATACTTGATTGTAAAACAGCACTTCAGTCTTTCAGGCATAAAGTATCCAGATAACATATTAAATCCTCATTGATAAAGAAGTTAAGGGGGGGTGCGCACACACATACTTTGCTGAGTAGTTCATGGCAAATAACCCTACAATGAAAGGAGAAAACAATGTCACAACATTAATTCCTGAGAGTATGCAGGCTGATTTTTCTATTCAGGTCCATTGCAGTGTTGTGCTATGTTATAAGGTTTAAAAAAGCAAAAATGACACCACAAAATCTCACCCCCAAACATTGAAGCGTTTCATAGGTGTGCATTACAGTTTTATCTTAGGCCAGTTTTTTTATGCTGTACTGAATTGAAGGATGCAGAGTGTACCTGCTGTCTTTTTAAGTAGAAATAATGCAAGACAGGCTACTTGCATTATGGTGTGGGGAATGTGCAAATACATTTAATTCAGAGTGTATAGCATGTCAGTAGAATAAATAGAAAACTTGGATTCTGGCAGTATTTAAAGAGAAGTTCAAATGAGTCAGAACACATTATAAGACCAAAAAGTACTGAAAAGATGATGATTTAACTACTGTTGATTTAATTTGAAAATACTGCTGTTCACCCATAGATTTTGCAAAATTAAATGCTTGAAATAAGTAGAAGTGAAAAAATATTTAAAAGTTTACACCCCAATTTTAATGGAATAGTGAAGATCTTGTAAATATAGTAACCTTTGATAATATTTTTGGGGTTGGGTTTTATTTTACACTGCTACATAAATTTCACATTTGCAGTTTTAAGTTCATCATCATGGTTTCTAAGCAGTCTTTGGGATTAAGCCTCCTCTGCAGGAAGAGTTGTTACCTTACAGAAAAAGCTGTACCTGCATCTTTAGTTCAGAGATTTCAGTTATTGGGAAGGGAACATCTAGTCTGACCACAGTATTTTCTCTCTCTAACTTTCCTTTGAAGCCTGGCATAGCAGGAAAATGGTTTTCAGTAGTAAAGCACCCATCTTATGTAAGAGCAATGGTAAAATGGATTGCTACACCTCTTCAGATAGCCTCTTGCTTTTCACTGTCTTATTGTGTATGTAATACCCTTTGAAACAAGCTGAATAATTTAGAAGGAAATAATCAAATTAATTTTCTTCTGTATGAAACCAGATTTTTCCTTCGTTTGTGGTGGGTCTATTACAATGGAAACTCCTGCTACATTGTAGGGAGCGTTGGCCCCACTTGTTTGTATGCATGTGCCATTACAGTCTGTAATCAGTCTTAATCCATCGTCAGGCATAGGTGTTCTTGTCTGCAGGCTTTCATTGCTCCATACAGCAAATATATGGGTGCTGGGATGGCACAAAAGCAGTTTTGGCTTTGTGGAAGCTTACTGCCTTACACCAAAACAGTTTGTAGCAATAAATTTGTCTTGGTGTACAGTCTCTTTGTGAATTACGATTAAAGTTAGAGGTAGCTGACTTGCCTTTCACTTTAGGGGTGGTCTTTTAGTCTTAGGGTGGCTGAGGCCTACTTAAAGTCGAGGCTGAGGTTACTGGCAGGGTGAATTTGGGAAGTTGGTATTACAAAAGCCTTTTCCATCGCTGGCTTCTGTAGAGTCAGAAAACTTGGCTTAGTAAACACAGAATTTTCATCTAAAATATAAAAGAGAAAATAATTAAGAACAGAAGTTTATCATGGAAAGATAATTAGTTGCAGACGTCTTCCAAGCGGAACAATTTTCATAAAATTTACCTTTAATGTAGAGAGACTATATTGGTGATGGCAGTGAAAACTTAGCTGATATAAGATAATTGATGAAAATATGTATCTATTTGAAGGACAGTACGTTCTTTGCAGTTATACTTTTTGATTATGGGAAATGTGTATTTTTCTATAGCCAAACTAAACTTGCGGTGGTGATATTAATGCAATTTCCCTTCCCCCCTAATTATACAGATTGCAAATTCCATGGTAAGTACGTGGACAGGACCACCAGCCATGAAGTCACTCTTTACCCGAATGTTTTGTTGTAAGACTTGTCCAAACATTGTGAAGACCAACAACTTCATGAACTTTCAAAGCTACTTTCTGCAAAAGGTAAAATTTATTTTTTTTCACTGAACATTTTAAAAGAAATGTCAAAATGCAAAAATGTTCTGTGCTTGACAACTACAGGAACACAGATAGCCCAGTCCTTCTTTACACCTTCCTAAAAGTACAAAATAACTAATTCTTTCTTATATGACATCTGTTTGTTCCATCTTAGTCAAAAATTTTAGCAATTTTTTCTGAGTAGCTGAAGTTAAATTAGTAGTTTCTTCAGAAGAATGGAGTACATATAAGAATTATTTGTAAATATTTGTGAGGTCATTCTTAAATAGAATTTATTACACAATAACAAAGCTACTCATTTTATCTTTTCGGTGAATTCAGCAGCTGTCTTTATTCGTTAAGGGCAATGATATCATACTGCAAATAAAATCTCATAAATATCTTAAATTGGTGGGCTTTTTAGTTCAATGCAGTGCGTAATCCTTGCCTTCTCTTTTCTATTAGTTGTCAACATCATGTATTGCTGCAGCTTATTTTGATGTTAACACAGGGTTTTTTACTGGGACCTATAGTTGTTAGTTATACAGTGGATAACGAAATGAATTACAATGATTTTCTGTCAATATTCACTTTATAATTGTTGGATGATTGAGTTCTTATTTCACAGATTCCATATTCCCGACTATGGAGAAAACTCAAATTTTCTTTTCTTACTCTGTCCAAAACTGCTTCATCCTTCTCCCCACGTCTCTTTTCTTGGACCTTCTTTTGTATTTTTCCGCACTTTTTGTCATTGTTTATTCTTTCCTACTAAATCTTACACTTTTGTCCCTTTTAATCCCATGTCCCAAGTTTATAGATCTAGAGTAAGCCTCTCTTAATAAATCTATGTAAGTGAAGCGTAGAGAGCTGCTTAGCTCATTCTAAAATAAATATCTAATCAAGCTAATACCTGTCTGGCTAATAATTCTTTAGACTTCACTGACTGTATTGGATCTGTATCTCTCAATGGTAATGGAAGCTTAGTCATCATGTTCACATGAAAACATGCAAATTCATTGTCCATCTCAGAATTAGTTCCATCATCTTTTTTGTGTTTAATTGCTTTTTATTTGTTACCTTTTTGATACTGCCTTGACTTGAGAGTCTTTTCTTGGATATGCAGTTTTTTCAAATGTCTGCACTATGACTAATTATTGAGCAATAATTACATAGTTTATTTGATCTGAAAATTATATAGCATGTGATATGACTTTCAAAAAGCATTTAAATGCCACTTTTCAGAGGTTAGCAGTTGTAAAATTGTTAATTACTCATTTTCAGGATGTAGCTCCTCTCAGGGTGTAACTATCATTTCACTATTGTAAGAATGATGTTAGTATGAATTTTATTACACAGACTATGCCTGTTGCCATGGCCCTTCTGAGAGATGTTCACAACCTCTGTCCTAAGGAGGTTTTAATGTTTATTTTGGATTTGATCAAGTATAACGATAACAGGAAGAATAAGGTAAAGAATGTCTTTATTGCAATTTCTCACTTTTTTGTTGAAAAAACTCTTAGTTAATAGACTGCGTGATGTTTTATGCCACTAATGTAAATATCTGGCTAGGTGAGTTGATGAAAAGGTAATACACTAAACTAAACAGTGAATGTTAGAGAATGTTCTGTAGCTGACATTTCTATGGCAGTATTTCGTGGATGTTTCAAAGCTGTCTGTGCTTGTTGACTTACCAAGGACCTGCCTGTCTTCATTTGCGCACATACTTTTCTTGCTTTACTCTTTTTCGCTCAAAAGATGCAGGTGTTTTGAGAAAATGTGCATGAGACTAACATGTAGCATGCAAAGTTAAGTATTGTTTTGTTGGGGTTTTGTCACCTTGAGAAGAGTGTTTGAAAGAGCAAGGAAAGGAAATAATCTTTTTTTTAATGATATACAGGACTCTGAGAATCTGGGTTCTGAATGTTAGATCTAGCTCACAGAACTGGGTTGTCTTCATCTGGTTAAATAACAGCTAAAACCCAGGTTAATATCATTCTATCACTAAGTTGAAGCACCTGAGTTGGAAGTGTTGTCATCTAAAGTTCCTTCCCACACAGACCACCTCTGAAGGATGATTAGATGACTTTTAAGATCCTGACATGGTACAAAATTCCATCTCCCTAGAGACAGAGGAAGTCTACAACTACTTGAAGCCTAGCATAATCTTCCCAATTAAGTATCCAAAGTTAAGTGGAACAAATATGAAGCCTCTTAAGCCTCAATTTCTTGTGTGTAGAAACAGATACTGTAACAAGACACTTGTTGCAATATTACTAAAATGAGGATGATAGAGGGCGGAGAGGTAGAGAATTAGACACGTAAATGCAATTATCAGTAGTCATAGTGTGGCGAGTTGTGCTAATATCTCATCACCGCCAAAGGATAGATCCTGCCTCGCGTTTCCACATGTCTCTTCTGCGCTTGTATTTGACATCTTCTACCAGATCTGACAGATAACTGGGTTTGTTTAGATTAAATTAACTAGCATTCACATCCAGTACTTTTTTCTGCTTTTTAAATTTTATTTTTATACTTTTTGCTGCTTACTAAATTAACACGACCAACAAATGCAACAGCCAGCTCACAACTGTGAGCCCAGGTAAAAGCAAATGAAGAAGGAAAATTTTCCTCACTAAGCAGTAGTGAGCCCATTAGCTCACTTCAGAAGCTTGTGCAGTTGCTATCTAAATAAACTGTATGATTTTTTGAGGTGCTAATCACCCATTAACTTTGGTACTGAATATAGAAACAGACAGGTAGTTCTAGATGCTCACATTTAGAAAGAATGGCTTTTATTTTCCATATCTGGAAAATTTTCAATGCCTGACTTTTCCATTTTTATAAAACAATGTATTACTATTAATATGCTTGTTTTGCTATTAATATGCTCTTATTGCAGAGTGAAGATTAATGATTGATATGTCTGCTTGCTCAATCCCTCTCAAATCCATTTTCAGAAAAGATTTATTCCTGTTTTGCTTTCTCATGCAGTTTCTCACATGGTTTTTGTTTTACGATCTTGTTCTGTAACAGTGCTTCAACATTTCTTAGCTTTTAAAGAATATATATTGTTATATTTGCTTGTGTTTAAATGCTCTTTTTATCTAGTTTTCAGACAACTACTATCGTGCTGAGCTGATCGATGCCCTAGCCAACTCTGTAACTCCTGCAGTCAGTGTGAACAATGAAGTTCGAACATTGGATAACTTAAATCCTGATGTTCGACTTATTCTTGAGGAAATCACCCGTTTCCTAAATATGGAGAAGCTTCTTCCCAGTTACAGGCATACAATTACAGTCAGGTGTGGTTTAATAATTGTTGTACACATGAAGAGAGCAGGCACATTAACACTACTTTTTTAGTTTTTATGTACCCTTCTGTAGTCAGTATTTGAGATTTTAGCTTGTGTGTCTTCATATTAAATGTCAAATTTCTTCCAATTTCCAAAAGCTGATAGTGCAAGTTTGTCTTTGTTACTTTATTTTTCAACATTAATTTCTATCAGCGTAGACTTTCAATAGCAAGCGTAAGTTGATAGTGCTTGTGCCTCCTTAAGAAGAGCATTTATGGAAGTTTTGCAAAAGGTGGCCTTGTTACAATATCTATAGAGTACACAACCTAATCTGAACTCCGTTTTCTCTGTAAGTTAGTACAGTTGTACTGAAACCAAACAATGGATTTAACATGGTGGGGAATTTTGTTTGTTTTTCTGCTGAATTCAGAGTTAATGAGACCTATGTGTTAATGCTGTGAAAGTAATTGTAACATGTTAATTTGGGTAATACAATTCTAAAAAAATTACCATACTTGATTTTGAAGAAAGTAATTTTATTCTTCTTGGCTGGCATTCCAGAAACCTGATGTAAATTTCCTCTTTCTACCACATCTAGCTGTTTAAAAGCTATTCGAGTACTTCAGAAGAATGGTCATGTCCCAAGTGATCCTGCTCTCTTCAAGTCATATGCAGAATATGGGCACTTCATAGATGTCCGAATAGCAGCATTGGATGCTGTCGTTGATTACACAAAAGGTACTTCTTTCAAGTATTTTGACACTTGGTAACACTTGCAATATAGTAGAAATATTAGGTTGAAATACTGTCTACCTCATTAATATTAGGTTGAAATACTGTCTACCAGAAGAGCTTGTGTCATGGCAGATGTATGGATAAGAAACTGAGATTGCTCTTAATGTTTTGTCCTAGAGAATGCAAGTTTTATGAAGATGTGGTGAGCATTGTTTGTCAGTGTCTTGCAAATTGAATCAGATAGCTAAGTTTTGAAATAATGAGTAGACAGCACAGTGAGTAGTGGTAAGGGGTTTTGGTAATTTCTTTTAACACTTCATTTTTGGTGATTTTGATTCAGCCACAATTGCTAGTCATAGTTCTTAGTTTTCCTTTACCTTCTTGCTAATCTCTTCTTTTTGCTTTCTGCATGCATCTTATGGTTAGAAATTTTGGAAACATAGATTATTTTAATGATTATTGCTTGATTCTGCTTCGTCATTCTTTATAAATAGCTTATGTTTCACATATCAGGAAATACCTCACAGCATAGGTGAGATGCTTTTACTCTATTGGTTTTATCTTAGTTGACTGTTCAGTGTCCTTGAAAAAAATACTGGGTAGCTTGCTTAAATGCCATTTAAAGTTGGAATTCAATCCTAACAGGTTTTTAGAGGCAGTTAGAAACTATAGCTTTAATGATTTGCATTTTCTAAAATTAATTTAGTACAACATTCATTTATTTGGGTTCATTTATTTGGGTTAGTCTTTCTCCATTCAGCAGATTTGTGACTGTTCTTGTGTTGGAAGGGTTATCGCTATCAAAGGGGCCAAATCTTTCAGCTCTTCCTCTGTGAGCAGACTGGTGATTCTAGACTTCTAATTATTCTGCCTCAATTTTCATGTTTTCATTTTCAGGGTAATGGAGAGTTTTCTTTGCTTTTTGTGTGAATAATTGTTTTCTCTATCTTGCTGCTGTCATTCTATCCAAAGACTTCTCAAACTAGATAGGCAGTGGGACGTTTTAAGGCAATTGGAGTTGTTGACTGAATGCATCTGGCACAATTCGGACATAAGCTCACAGGCTGAAACCAGACCGTCATACAGAAAAACTAATAACTTCGAGGAAGGCTGTGCACTGAGCGTCACTCTCGGGCTCAGTCTTCAGTCTTGTAATTCACCAGGCATTATGGATCCACAGCCCACTGCATGTGTACCATTTGGTGACCCTGTGAGTGATACCCAGCTGGAATTCAGGACTCTGCTGGTGCTCTCTCTCTCTCTCTCCTCTCCCTCTCTCTCTCTCTCCTCTCCCTCTCTCTCTCTCTCCTCTCTCTCTCTCTCTCCCCCCTCTCTCTCCTCTCTCTTTGTTTCTTCCTTCATAGAGTGTTAGTGGAAAGATTTGCTGGAAAATGGAAAGCTTACTCATCAGCCTGCTTCCTTTAGAATAATCTCCTCACTAATTCATCCCACCCTTTGGAAAGACAAACTGATAGAAATAATGTTTTCTCATTAAATTCTTGACCTTTTATGGATGGTGTTTATAGTTAATACCTGACTTGGATAAGAATGTGTTTGTACTGCTGAGTAATATAGTACATCTTTAAAACAGCTGATTAAATGGTTTGCTGTATAAGCAAGATAGGGTTGGTTGCATGAAATACTCTACAGGAAGGTAAAACTTGAATGGTAAAAGGTAGTAGAGAAATTTTTTGAAGAAATCAGTGATTGAGCTGAATACAATTTTTGACTGAGCTCACTGTGAGGTCTGGAAATGATAGATTAAAGTATTACTGTACCTAATTGCCTTGACCCTTGCCAGTGGCTTTTTCTGTGATGCAAAGGTAGCAGATGCAAGTATCTGTTTGCTATAAAGTCACTACAATTCACGACACAGTCTACTATCTAACTGGTCATCAGTATCATTTCTCAAATACAACCTTCCAGCACCGAACACGTTAGCTTTTGCTCCTGCTGTGACTGCTAAGTTTTTGGTGGAGGGGCAAATCCAGAAGCTCAGTGTGTTCACTGACTTCGTCAGCTACCCATATAGAAAGTAGCAGCGCTTGTCTCACAGAGCCCTAAACCTGGCTTTGGAAGGAGAAATGATTGGCCGTCTGTTGCCAAGAGGTCTGACTCTCGTTGTTCCCAGTTACCTGGTTTCCAGTTCATACTGGATGTAAACCAGCAGCTATCAAATGCCTGTTGCTTGTGCCAAAGCTGGCTTTTTAACAGTTCTTGTAAAGGAAGCTGACAGATTTTGTAATTTCCATAAAAAGGAAAGTCTGTATTTTCTGGGGCAGTGTGGAACTCCCATGTTTTTCTATCAACTCTCAGGGTAGGAATAGCACTGCCTTTTTTAAGTTACTTTAAAAGAAACCATTTCTCCATGGAACTGGATAAGTTATTTTCTTTGCTGTTAATGGTAAGGCTTTTTTTGAGACACAGTAACTCTGTAAAATGCTTGAGGCAGCATGTAAGGACTCGGACAGTTGATCTAAAGTGGCTTGAAGTTAACGGAGTTTATTAATTTTTTAGTGTTAGCTTCTGATAGTTATATGACTATTAGTAGTTATATGTATACAACAAAGCAGTTGCATATCTATAAGAGGTAACAACAAACCATTCTAAATAAATATCCATGTTTAGGGTCTCAGAGATGCTCTGCTGTAATTGAGAACTGATACACCATCTCTTGTACTTTGAAAAAATCTCAAGAGGATTTTTACTTCAGAAAGTAATAATTTGGTTTATGTCTACCAGAAATATGGAAACCTACACATCTTTCTTTTCCCACAGTCTTCTCATAGAGAAACTGGCAAGATACAGACAGGATGGGAGGTCTGTGAGATGGGTAGGAAATAGGGTCATGGGCCACACTTAGAGAATGGTGGTCAACGGTTTTTGCTTAGGCTGCCAACCTATCACAAGTGGGTGTCCCCCAGGGAACATCTTCATAAATGATCTGGACAACAGCACTGAAAGCAGCCTCACCAAGTTTGCTGATGATGCTGACCTGGGTGGTGAGGTGGACATGTTGGAAGTGAGAGCTATCTTGCAGAGAGACCTGGACAGGCTGGAAAAGTGGGCAAGCAAAAACTCTATGAAGGTCAACAAAGACAAGTGCAAGGTCCCGCACCTGGGACAACGTAACCAAAGAGCCCAGTACAGGCAAGGATCTGTGTGCCTGGGGAGCAGCATTGCTGAAAGGGACCTGGGGGACCTGGGGGATGAGAAGCTGACTGTGAGTCAGCAGTGTGCTGCTGCAGCAGCGAAGGCAGATCAGATCCTGAGCTGTATCCACAGGGGCATTACTAGCAGAGATAGAGATGTGATCATCGCACTCAGCGCTTGTCAGGCTGCACCTGGAGTACTGCGTCCAGTTCTGGCCTGACAGTTCAAGAAGGTTATGGACAGACTGGATAGGGCCCAAAGGAAGGCGTCAAAGATGATCAGAGGGCTGGAGAATCTGCCCTGCAAGGGAAGACTGAAGAACTTTGGTCTTTCCTCCCTGGAGCAGGCTCAGGGGGACCTCATTAGAGTATTCCAGTACTTAAAGGGTGGCTACAAAGAGGATGGAGGCTTTCTCTTCACAAGGTGCTACATGGAAAGTATATGGGGCAATGGATGAAAGTTGCACAGGAGGAGGTTTCATCTCAATATAAGAAAGACATTTTTTACAGTGAGAACAATCAGTGGAACAGCCTCCCCAGGGATGTGGTGGAGTTCTCATCACTGGAAATTTTCAAGATGCGATCGGACAGGTTGCTAGATAATCTCATCTAGGCTCCCTTTCCCCTGAAAGGTTGGACCAGATGGTCTTTGAGGTCCCTTCCAAACCGGGCTGTTGTATGATTCTATGACTCTTCTGGCTAATGAGATTGGTTCTGCCCAAGATCAGGTTTAATTTGTCATTGCTCGGCAGTTGCTATATAAATTTGAAGAGCAGGTTAAATGCATTAGTAGCAAAGCTTTGGAAGTCTATCAGGCCTAGCTTACACTATAAGGCAAATAGCAGGGAAGACTTACTTTATTTTAAGCACAAATAAGTTTAAGCAGTAGAAAAGACTTTTTTTTTAACCACAGAAGTATGATGTTTCTTGGTTCTGTTATCTAGTACTGTCAGCCTAAAGGATTCATCTCCTAGACTGCTCATTTTCTAATCAAAAACCATTTTAAAATCCCTTTTGTTAGCAGTCAAAATAATTGCAGCTTGCTTATGATTGTGACTTAATGTGTTTGCCATGTTGTGAGTCTTTGCTGCATGGTTATACAATATTATTATTTTTCCATGCAAAACAACTTTTGTATGCAGTGTTCTAGCTGCCTTCTACCCCAAGCAAGGTAGCTGCCAGGAGAAGCAGCTGTGCATGGAGTAGAGCACAGGCAGTCACTAATCCCTTAAAAGTATGTCCTATAGCTTCTCAAAGATTTCTTTGATTTTTAAGGCAAATCTGAGATTGCGGTTCTGGTCTGTATGGATACAGTCCAGTTCAGTGCCTCACCAGTGTAACCAGTTCTGTTTTGGTTGGGCTGTAGGAAGAGCAGAGCTGACTTGCAAGTGGCCTGCAAAAAACTATTCAGCCCTCTTCTAAGCAATATTATAATGTAGTTTTTAATTGCTTGTCTGCCTCCTCCCATCTTATGTTCAAGTTGTCCAGATTATTTAAAGAATTTCTAAACTGCTAATAGAACTGAAGTGCTGATTCTCATAATATAATTTAAATAACTGCCTCTTCATTTAAGAGCAACTTACCCTAGTGACTAACAAGGGAATAATAGGTATTAGAATTGATTGGACTAGAAAAGTTACATTTAAAAATTGTTGAAATCCATTCTCCTTCAAGCAGGAAGGAAAGTTGAACTAAGGTATTTAGAACTGAAAATACAGTAGGCAGGATATACATTGCCAGGACTGCAAAATGGAAAGCAACAGAAATGCTTTTGGAGCTGTCTATACAGGAATGATTAATACATCCCAAATTCTGAAGTAAAGCAAAGCCTAAACAAGCTCTTCATTGTTTTGAGGAAATGAGAAGAGAATACTGATGGAAAATCTTATAATTATGCACCTGAGAAAAAGATAACATAAAAATTCTTGCTTTTTTGTCTAATTGGTGATGGTGATACACTGTGTTGTTTCCTATTTTGCAATGTTACTCTGACAATCAAAGAAATTTTATAATGAAATTTAAATTTTAAACTAACAAGCTGATTTTGATTCCAACAGTATCAGGCAGCAGTTTTCTAGAAGCATGTGCTGATAGGTTTCAAAATACATTTTAGTTACAAACTATACTGATTTTAAAAAATAAGGAAGGCTACTGAGAGGAATATGCTTGCAGTTTTGTTTAAGCCCTGTAGTCTTGCTTTTCCTATCCTATTTATAGATTATTATCTTTCATAGATCCCTGTGTATGAGAATTGTGTATTCTCTATTCCTTATAGAAGATATTATACGTGTGATTGTTGAAAGGATATTTGAGTGTGTTCATTTTAGGAAGCTCACAATATCAAGGTGGTCAGTTACTCTGTGATCATCCCAATCAATGCTCATGAGTGACTGAGTTACCTGCTAGTAGTCAAGTTGATGGTTATTGAACAATTGAGGCATGAAGGGAGTTTCATGCACGTTTCTATTTCAATGTAAAGTAAACCACCTTTTACTTTTGAATTTGCACTATAATAAATGAAATTCCTTTTTAGTTGCAGTGATTCAAACTCTTTGTATGCCAATTCAGGAACTTGTGATTGTCTTGATCAAAATCCTTTGAGTTTATGTGTATTTGTAGGCATTTTATTTTCTTCTTCTTTGCAGTTGATAGGAGCTATGAAGAGTTACAGTGGCTGCTTAATATGGTTCAGAATGATCCTGTACCCTACATAAGGTTAGTGAGTTAATAAAGAGCCAGTATTTTTATTAATGCTGGAACTACTAAGTAAATTCTTGGCCTGGAATCGCTAGAATAGATCAAATGCTCAACCGCTTAATACTTCTTCACAAAACACTTTTTTCTGCTTGTTATTTTATATAAATTGAAATGTGTTTTTATGATTCAACAGTTCGCATCTCAAAATTAATATTCTCTGTTCTTATTCTCCATTATATTATTTCTGTCTTTTATGTTCTATCCCTGTGGTGGAAGTCTGACATTAGAGGTCATTTCCTGATCATAAACAAAGTATATAAACCTGATGTTGCAAATGGCAAAAAGGCTTTGTGATATTTAGAAAAGACAAAGGATGAGACATAGCGCACACAATGCTTTGCCAGCAAGGAGTGTAAAGCAATTGTTAGACTGTAGATGGGGTGAAAGGATAACGTGAAGATATGGTGTAATTTCTAGTATTGCCTGTTTCAACTTGGTTTTCACCAATGATTGGATACTTTAGCACATTCGTTATAAACCTTTGAACACTGAGGTTCATAATCATTGGTTTTGCCCAACACTTTCTTCTTATGACCACGATTAAAATAATTGCGTTTCAAAGATAAATAGTGTTACTTTTACTCTCTCTCTATAGGTGATTTCTTACAAAGATCATAGCTGCAAGATTGTTCTCTATTTTATTTTCTGTTGTTAATGAAATTACACACAGTTAGACTCACTAGAGGAGGTTTAGCTTCAGTCTAGGAAGGAGATTTAATTTGATTTGTATCTTTTTAAAGAGGAGTTTAAATTTTTAATTGAGTGCTGTATGTAACCCTCTTCTAAAAGAAAAGGAAAAAAAAAATCTGTAAGAGTTTTCTTGTCCCCAAATGTAAGGCAGCAAGAGGAAAGCTGGCTATACAGGGAAAATAGTTAAAATAATAAGTAATGGAACAAATAATTATTCTCATTCATAAACTGTTTTCAAGGCCAAGTTTAAAGAAAGAAAGTGGGAAAAAATTATCTACTTTCAGCTCACTGTGTAAATAGTGTAAGCAAGCATGGTAAGTGCGGAATCTTTATACACCATGTAACTTAAGAGGTGGTTATTGTCCTGTCATTTTGTATCAGCTATAAACATTTAAAGTTACTTAAAAATATTTTGGTATCAGCATGTAAGGAGTTTATTTGCCAATGTTGCTCCTTCTTTGTAATTATTAAGTCGGTCTGCAAAAAAATTTGTTACTAAACAGAAGAGCATGATGTAGCCTACAATTTTATACCTAACTCTTAAAAATAATGTCTAATAACATCCTGCTGCTTTGCATCTTGCTTTTTAACTTTAAGTTATATTGCTGATGGTAAGTCTGTGTCTATGCAAATTGTGGACAGAAGGAAGAGCTAAAAGCATAAAACATTGGTTAAAATTTTGGAAGAAATACTGTATTTGAATAAGTTTGTAAGACTATTGCAAACTGAATGGACTTTGTATTCTTAGTGTATTCATTTGGCTTTAATAAAGATGGTTTTCTCCATTTCTTTTTCAGGCATAAGATTCTGGATATGCTGACTAAGAATCCACCTTTTACCAAGAACATGGAGTCACCTTTATGTAATGAAGCTTTGGTAGATCAGCTTTGGAAACTGATGAATTCAGGTTGGCTGCTTGTTGTTTGGTGGTTTTGTTGGGTTTTTTTATTGTAAGTTTTTTTGTAGTAAGTGGTAAAAACTTGCTTCAGAATATGCCAAGAGCTCTCTTAGTTTCAATAGTTAAAAATTGAAAATTGTCTCAGTAGTTTCATGTCATGTATGTACCTCCAGAACTTTCTTGGGGACACAGGATACCGACCCTGGTTTTTCATTCTTTTGTCTACTTACTGTAGTGTGCTTTGATGTACTTTGGCATGGAGCGATTCTTTGACTCCTATGTTCAAAGCAAATGTTTCCTCTAATGATGGTGTCTGTGTTACCTTTTTCTTTATCGCTTGCTTTAGCTAATCTCTCTTTGTCCTCTTTTACTAAACTCTGAGAGAATATGAGAGGATAACATTTGTATAGGTAATTTAAATGAGATTTTTGCAAGTGTATTATAAACTTAAGACTCCATTTGCCTTGTGTGATTAGGAAAGATTCTAACGAGAGGAGGGCTTGCATCTTTACCATTGACCTGTTTTTCATTACTGAAGCAGTTTTTATCCAGTCCTGACAAACTGCCCTTTAACATCTGGCACATTACTACATAGATTACTTACAAACATTTATATAGCTTTTTTAGGTCATTGAATGCTGTCTGTTCTCTGTGTATCATTATTTTTAGTGTTTAAAAGCTTACAGCTACACTCCAGGGGTTGAAGTGGGGAGACTACTAGTAGTTCAGTTTCGTAGAATTTGCCAAGTGTCAGGCACAGAAAATAAACAGTTTTGATGTTCCCATCAGAGAGTTTGTTTTTCCTTTTTGTTGAGAGAAGAGTGTGTGCAGTGTTACTTACAACCATTACCTCTTTTTGCAAGTAACGAATAGGGTATACATTCTTATGATGTTTCATGGGGCTTTAAGTACTTGAATTTCTACACATCAAGATGACATAATGTTTCAATTTATTTTCTGTAAGGATAACTGCAGCATTCCAGGGTGCCTTGAAAAATGTTTGTTAATGTGAAACAAGTTAGTAGCCAGTTTTAAAGCTGCATGATTCTAGAATTGTGAGTTGCTTTCATTTAGTGTAAGCACATGCAACAGAAAACAGACTCTGACTGATGCATATAATCTTTTTTTTTCTTTTGTGTTAATCTACGTTAAATTGATAATGCTCACAAGTTACAAAGATTACAGAGAAATTCAGCAACCAATTGTATTTAAGCTTAGCTGTTCTGCTGGAAAAGGAGAGAGATACTGAATAGGAATTCATTATATCATTTTAAGATGTAGTAGTTTAAGAAGTTGAGTAAATTATTTATTGTTAAAAAATTATAATAGTTCTAAAATTAATATTTGTGAATGTGTCATTCTCTTGAGTGTATTTTAATGTTAGAAATATCCACATTAATATTCATATTGCTTTCACTTGTAACTGGGTAAGTGTATGTACAGCTAAGCTTACCAAAAACACTATTAGCGTCATGAAACTTAGTATTTACAGGGACAGATCTTGTAGTTTTGTTTTGTGCTGTCTTGCACGGCCACGTTAACATGGCAGTTGGTACATCTGTGTCTTGTTTACCAGATATAGTTCTATTCCTGCTGTGGAACAATATGTTCAATAAACTTGCAATCAGTCAAGAGCTGGGCTGAGTTAACACCAGAATCAGTGTATTTGCAGCGTTGCACCAGATGTTGGATGTCTTTCTGTTGTGATTGGTGCCAAACGTGCTTTGACCACTTGTGTATGAAGATATAAAAGCAATACACAGTTTGCAGTGAAATGTAAAATCAGTGAAGCATTGCTTTGTGCAGTATGGATACATATCTCCAGTATGAATACAAATTGAAGTATTGAGTATTCAGTGAAGTACATGACGTAATAGTGACATCAAAAAGCACGTTTATACACTGCTGGTTCATGTTCTCTGTTGGTGTGTTTCCAGAGGGTACAGATCTCAGTCATGCTAAAGGCTGCTACTACATTTCATGGAACACATAGGCAAGTGTTACTGTGACCAAATCCAGGAAGCCAGTTTGATAACAAATTGTTCTATTTAATTGTCCGATAGTAAAACCTAAAGTGAAACTTTAAAAATAAAAGCATATTGGTGTAACTATTTTCCTTTTATTTTTTTATTATGTTATTATAGCACTTAGTTTCCTAGTCTTGTTCTACTAAACACATCCAGCTTACAACTCAAACAACTTAAAACCTTCCTTTTAAACAGGCTGTGACAGGTGAATTTGAGTAAGTAAGTAGCAGGAATAATGAGGGAAGAAGTGTATCTTAAGCATAGAAAATGTCATACTCTGGTGGATCCAGATCACTTAAACAGTCTTATTTGCGGGGGAGGAGAAGATTGTATCTCTGTATTAACAATAATCTCTTTTGGATTTTAGGAACTTCGCATGACTGGAGATTACGATGTGGTGCTGTGGACCTCTATTTCACACTTTTTGGCCTCAGCAGACCTTCTTGTTTACCATTACCAGAGCTTGGACTTGTTCTTAATCTGAAAGAAAAGAAGGCTGTACTTAATCCAACGATTATCCCTGAATCAGTTGCCAATAATCAGGAACCTGTGAATAGTGCTAACAATCACGGGCAGTCAGTAGGATTTCAGAACACCGTAAGCACAAACCATCTGCATACATCCCATTCCACTGGCTCCGAGCCCTTGCGCTGGTTGCTGATTTTGTATTGTGTTCAAGCTTCTCATGCTTTACCTAAGCTACCTTTATACCTTGTTACTCTTTATTTCTTCCACTTGAAAAGCTGGCATATACCGTAACTTTTTTAACTTTTTTTAAACCGTTTTGCACAGAGTATGCAAGCTTTTTACTTGTTTTTTGTAGTCTCATCATTTCTGTTCTTCATAAAACTTTACCTTTTCTATATTGCTTATGAGACATGAAGCGATTCACAGAAATGTTTGATGCTGTGATGAAAACTGTTCTTTGTTAGACTAAGAATATTGCTTATAGGCAAGTTATGCAATTTACCAAAACAAAACCTTTTCTCAGTAAATTTATTACACCTTACAATACATAGATATACCTCTTTCTCAAGAACTCTGAGATGTGAAAGTTGGAACTTTAACACATCTTCACGGAACGCTTTAATTGGACTATTTAGTACTGTGCTCTGAAGGATTTGTAACAACTTCTGCAAAATCACATACATTAAGTTTGATTTCTTTCTGGCTTTGGAGGCTTCAGTCCTAACACATAATCTGTTGTGTAATTAGAAAGTAGATCTTATAAGCTATTCAAGTCATGCTTTTCTTAAGAATATCGGCCACTGCTGCAAGCCTAAGTCTCTTTCTTGGACAAATTTAATTATGAGGGGAAAAAGCTCAACAGACACAGAAATAATGAGTAATTTTCTTAACAGTTTCAAAAACTGCATTTGATTGAAACTGCTTAGGAGTAAATTCTGAAAAAGAATGTGAACATGTGGTTAGCATGTTTGAAACTCTTTCCACCCTTTTGAATAGGATTGTTTACTGTTACTGTATCAGTCCCATAGTTAATTTCTAAATCGTTTTTATTCAGAAGTATGCCGAGAATATAAATTATCACAGTACCTTGCAGGCTATTTCCAGTAGGGGGAGAAAACTGATGATGGAGTCAAATCTTGTTAGAGCTATCCTACATATTTAAAGCACATGTAATAAATCCTAATTTGCTGCGCACAAACATCAGAATTAAATAGCAGGAGATGTTTTGTTAGCAGGTTTTTGGATGTTCACTGAACTGCAGTCTAAACTTCCAGCAGCCAAACTGTCTTAATCAAAATTTTCCTCGTAACTCTTCTTTTTCCTATACTGTCCTCTCCCTTGTGCTAGCACTGTTGTTGCTGCATAGTGAGCTGGATCAGGGGAGGTTCTAGTTGAAAAATACCCTTTTTATGAACAAATATTTCGTAATGAGTCAGTTTCCTGGTCCAGTTCATTGTGTAATTAGAAAAATGTTTGTGGCGACCCAGGACAGAAATGTGCGAGGAAGAGGAAGAGGCTGCTTCTTAGAGCAGCAGTACTGGCTTACACTAGTGTGAAAATACAGTGTTAGTATAAACCTCAATTCACACTTCATCCCTTGTATCTTCTGCTATGCCTCACCTCCATTCTTCTCCCTCTTACTTTAAGGTTACCATTCTCACTGTAATTCCCCCAAAATTCAGGGAACTGCAAAAAATCAAACCAGTAGCATAAAACAAAGGCTGCCTTTCACATCAGCCAAAGTTTATCTAAAAGTGTTTCACAACAACAATGTGTGGGGTTAAATACTAGGGATGAAAACAGGGACATGTGTATTTGAGGGGAAAAAAAAGTTAACAGGTGATAGAATGCATCAGATTAACTAGATTCTTTAAAGCAGACTATATTCTGAGAGCATACACATGCTAAAATTGTGCTGACAGACTTGTGACACTGAATTTGCTGAGGATGGTAAAAATTACCCACTTCGTAAAATTGAATTTGAATTATTCAGGGCACCTAGAGTGCCCTTTGTAGAACAGAGGAAGAGCAGTTCAGTGGAGCAGCATATGCTCTTGGTAGTCTATGATACTTTTATCTTCTTTTTAGTGGGCTTTTAATGATGCTTGCTTCTGTGGGTACTTTATTTTTTCTTCTACATTTTGTGTATTGGCCTTCTTGGAACACCTGTCTCCTGTTTTAATGACTGTATGTGTATCTTAGACTCTCCTGCTATTTTTGTATTCCTTTGACCCTGTTTTTGTTGATAATCTAAGCAGTAATTTACAAAACAGTTTAACTCTTTTTAATAAATACTGTTGTGAAATAAAAAAAAACAAGTTATAAGTGCTTTGTATTCAACAAAGTAAGCATTAGGTTTTAAAGCTAACGAAAAAAAGATTTAGCCAAATCCCATGTGTAGATCAGGGGCTATCACAGTTTTTCAACTGAGATTTGGACTGAGGAGAGTCTGCGAGGCACAGATTTATAGAAAGGCTATTCAGAGGCAGCAAATGTTGTTGCACACCAACAGTACCATGATTGTGCAAAGGGACAGAAAAGATGCCAATGCTAGATATGCAGAGGGAGCAGGGATAGAAGTAAAGAGAAACTATGTTTGTAGGAGAGGTTGGCACAAATCCATACAGGGTTTTAGAAAATACTTTTTGCCAGAACTACAGGGAAAACTTTGTTCAAATCACCCACCTTACTCAGAAGTGTTTTCAGCTATCAGGTCTCTTTTAGGCTGAAACATGGCTCTTGCTATCTTCTAATTTTGGTCTTTTAATGCTGCTTCAGGAGGATGATCATCTTATTAAGGAAACAGCATCCAGCATTTCTGGTCATCAGCAGGGGGTGAAGAGGAAGGCTGATATGCCACTCGGGTCTCCATTGGAGCCAGGGCAAATACTAGAGAAGAATGAAGACAGTAAAGTCAAACTCAAAATCAGAGTAAGAAATGGAAATTCAACTTGCACAATATATAGGATATTCAGAATAACAGCAGTGGCTTCTGCTGACTTCCCTTAAAGCTATGTTCAAACAAAAGACGTGTATATGTGTACAGTAGTTGTTACGCTTACTGTGGCAAAATCATTTCCCATCAGATTCTTTATTGGCTAGCAAGAACTGAAGTTGACAGTTAATGCTCTTGTTCACACAGCTTCACAGTAAATTAGAAGGAAGACAAGACACTGACCCTTTTTAATTTTACTGAATTTTTATTCTTTTGCAGTGGTAGATATCACTTCCTTTCCCTCTCACCCCCAGTTTATGTCAAAAAGAAATGATTTTAAGTTATCTTAGTGATATTCCTATGAATTATCAGCATCTGCTTATTTTTTTTCCTGATATCTTAGTTCTCAAACTCTCAAGAAGAGGAGGAAATTGATATGGACACAGTTCATGACAGTCAAGCCTTTATCTACCATCATTTGAATATGTTGGAGAGACCATCCACACCAGGTATGAGTCAATTTATTGACAAAATGATTGTATGAATTTTTCAACTATTTCAGTTGAGGAGGGGAGTGTTGCTGCTGCTTATTCCCTTACATACAGTGCTGCTAAGTGTTAAATGTTAACTGAATTCAAGGAAGTATATAAAGGGTGCATACGAACATTTCTTTAGCTTCCAGTATATTTATAGATAACTGTGTACATGTGTATTTTCATACATATTTAAGTAAGGCAAGTATGTGTCATGCTTATAGAAGTGAAAAGCTAAGGAATGAATAAAATAACATGAAGCTGAGATAGAACCCCATAAGCAATTAGGGAAAACCTATTTCGCCATAGTTGTAATTTAAAAAATAATAACGTCGAAGAACCACTTCAAAAACATTAGCAAGAATATTCAGGTAAAAAAATCTTTAATGATTTATAAGTTGACATCAGTAGTTAAAAAACATGCAAGCCTCAAAGATGCTTAGAAGAGCTTTTCAGAGTTGAAAAAATTGCATCTATGAGTAAAATGGTTTTATTTCAAGCACTTCTTTTCTTTTACTACTTCTCTTAGTATCTTTTTCATAAAATATTTGACAAAATTACTTCTCAAAGAATAGCATTCCCTAGAAACCTTAAGGCAAGCTGAACTTCATTGATGAACTTCTGCCTTAGAATCATAGAATCTTTGCGTTGGAAGGCACCTTTAAAGACCATCTAGTCCAACCCCCCTGCAATGAGCAGGGACATCCTCAGCTCGACCAGGGTGCTCAGAGCCCCATCCAACCTGACCTTGAATGTTGCCAGGGATGGGGCATCTACCACCTCTCTGGGCAACCTGGGCCAGTGTTTCACGACCTTCATTGTAAAAAATGCCTTCCATTATATCTAATCTAAACCTACTATTTTTTAGTTTAAAACTGTTGCCCCTTTTTCTGTCACTACAAGCCCTGGTAAAAAGTCTCTCTGTCTTTCTTACAACCCCCTTGTAAGTGCTGGAAGGCTGCAATGAGGTCTCCCCGGAGCCTTCTCTTCTCCAGGCTGAACCACCCCAACTCTCTCAGCCTGTCCTCACAGCAGAGGTGTTCCATCCCTCTGATCGTTTTTGTGGCCTCTTCTAGACGCGCTCCAACAGGTCCCTGTCTTTCCTGTGCTGAGGGCTCCAGAGCTGGATGCAGGACTCCAGGTGGGGTCTCACCAGAGCAGAGTGAAGGAACACAATGCCCTCCCTCGCCCTGCTGGCTACGCTGCTTTGGATGCAGCCCAGGATCCAGTTGGCCTTCTGGGCTGAGAGTGCCTGTTGCCGGCTCATGTCCAGCTTGTCATCTACCTTCTTCACTTATCTGTCACTAGCAAAGAAGTTCAGTGGTTAGTCTCCTTTTCTCAAAATATTTTAACCATATTTCTTAGGTTTAGTTCCAGAATGTGCCAGTGGAGCTAAGCTATTGTGACTACGTAACAAGCATTTTGAGATATCTTCAGTACATATTCAAACAAGGTTTTAAGGTTGCAATACTGCAGTCTGTAAAAGTGAAGTATTTGGCCTTAGAAGTAGAATTCAGAGTAATTACCCTCTTGCTTGTTTTTCTGTTTTTATCCAGTGGTTGCCTAATATAAAACAGAAGTAGACCTTAGCAGCAGGATCTGGAACATTGGTTCCATCTCGAGTGCCCCAGGTCCTGAGCTACGCTGACAGGCAACCTCATCTGCCTTCCCTGTGACCTGGCAATTGAGCGTCACCATTTAAGAGAAGGGCTGGTGGATGTTCCTGCTCTGAGTATCCTGCTGAGGCTGGTGCCTTGGTGCTGGCTGGGGGTGTGGAAAGCTGTAGGCTCATACTCCCTTAGGGCCTAGGACTTACGTTTTTACTTCCTTGGCAGATGCTCTAGCCACTAAGGGGTTTTGTTTTTTTATAAAAGGTAACTGCTGTCATTGCTCAGCTAACAAATTAAGTTCATGTGGGGACATAAAACACAGGGGGGTCTAATTCCTGCATTCCAGATGGCCTTTGGTTAATGACATGTGCCTGTACAGCCAGCTCCACCAGGATGGCTTTGCTGTTAGATAAATAGAGTAGCAAAACTCACAACATTTTGCGTAAATCATAGGCATTTCAGCAGCGTAAAGGGGAAGGCTGCATATAGGTTGCTTTCATAAACTTCGGAGCCTAATTCCGCACAATCTTTACTTTAAACATCTCAGAGCTGCTTTGAATTTTGTCCTCAGGTCAACCATCACATTTTCTGCTACGGCAAAGAATGACACATCCAGGGCATGCAAGTGTGAAGCTGATCCGCTGAGGATTAGTATTTATAACTCTTACATGATATTTTGCAACTTTTTTTTTTACTAGACTTACGCACTCTATGGAATATAAAGTCATAAACAAAACTCTGCCAAATACTTCACAAATAGGACTTGCGGGACCCTCTGTACGCCAGCTCTGTGCTCCAGGACTGTTGCATACTAAGTTTGCACTAGAGTTCAGAAAGGGTAAAGTCTGATCAGGAGTGGAGCGATGGCTAGTTGACTGCTGCTTTTGTTAGACCTACAGCAGACAAAAGCTACTTCGAGTTTCACTTTTGTGCTGAATGACCTTCTCACCTTTGCGATTTAGGCATTCAGCACACTGGAATACATTTTCCTTCCTAGGTAATGAATGAGGCAAACGCTGGGTTTTGCCTCAGGTTTCATTTTAAATAATAAGCCTTTGAAAAGCATTATTTTGAAACACTTCAGATTAATTTCATTTTCTTTGGTTTGTATGGTTAGAAAAAGTTCCACTTCAGATATTCTTTGCTTCTAAAATTTCACCTGTTTCTTATTCATAGCATTTTTCTTAAAAGCGAAGATGTATGAATTTCAGATTGAGTAAATAAAGACAGTTCAGTCTTTAGGAAATGGCATACTTCTGGGAAGAAATGCCAAACAGATGGGGAAAAATAAAAGCATAAGTAAATAAAATTGTTCACACATAGGAGTGTTCTGTTTTACAAAGGAATTGCAGATTTCGAGTTTTTGCAGCAATGATGGAGGGTGGGTGCACTTCAGTGAGCGTATGTTGTGAAATAGATTGACAATAGGTTCTGAAATGGTCTCAGTATCTTGTTAATAAATCTGTAAGGTCTCATATCTGCCTCAGTTCTGTGACTCTTACTTGGAAGGCAGCAAGCCCTTAGTCCACCCTCAGTTTTCCTCTCACAGCTGTGGGTTATGTCCCCACATGTCACATGAAGTGTTAGGTCATCAGCCAAATGCAGTCTGTGAACAGCAGCTGCCAGGAGGAAGTTCATGTTGGGTCTAAATCCTGCGTATCTTTGTATTCTTTTTTTTTTATTTTACACTCCCCACACCACCCCAAATGACAATTTGGATTTGTGCAAGTTGATGTAACCCCCATAAAGCCAGGAAAATATTATTTTCCTTTAGTAGCTTTTTGCTGTATGCTTCTGTTCATGGATGTGAAAGGTTAGAGTTGAGATACACTGCAAGGGCAAAAAAGTAAGTCTTGTACTACAGCTCTTGCAGGATTACAGGTTTCAGTACTATAATTACAGCACCTTTCGTAGTTGTTCATATAGACAATGTTTTAAATCCTACTAAAGCATCCTGCCTATGATAATAGAACTGTGGACTCCGGGAGTTAAAAAGGATTCTGGGCATTTTTCAAGAAGTTATTCAAACAAAACATCAGTTGGGAACTGTCTGTAGAATGCTGTTGTATTGATTATTCATCTGCCCGAAGGACTAGAAACATGGTAGCCTCCTTTGAGCCTCTAAAGCTGTGCAAGGTCACATTTCTAATGCAAGACCAGATTTTTACTTGCTACTAAATCATCAAGAATAGCAGTAAAGCTCCCCACTCTTAAATCTTAAAATCAAAAAAATTTCAAGATGAGATTTTGTGTAAGCAGTAGATTTAAACACTCATTTCAGACTCTAAGGTGACTTGTCACGCGGTGTTGACTTCAGTGAAACCAGATTAAGATACGCTTCATTATTTACTTCAATATTTCATCTGAAGGTACAATACTTCAAAATTAACCTTGAAAAAGTTTTGCTGTATGTGTCAGTGGTTATTGATTGGCATGTTCTTTTCTGTTTCCAAAATAAATGCCTGGCTGTAGCCTGTGTGCTCTACCAGTGAAGTTACACGTTGTTATGGCTTAGCAGGCCATCACTGATAAACTTTTAATGAGAATTTTCCCAGTTATTTTGGTAGTTTGGTAGTTGATACAAAGCAGTATCCAATTATTTTTTTTTTTTCTTTTATAGAAATAAAAGTAAATATGGCAGTGTTCTCTTTGTGCACTGGCAGTCCTTTTTCTGATCACATTCAGGAGCAGTGAGCTTTGAGAACACATCCTGAGCATTCAAACCCGAAAAAACCTTTGGCCTTTCTATTAATCCATTTGCTGTTTTCCAGGATAATCAAACTGGAAATTTCCACTGCTGATCTTGTAGGTCACTCTGTTTTTCATGTAGATGTACATGAAACTTTGAAGGTCTAGGCCACACTCATACATGTTGATTGGATTATGGTCTTGTTTATCACAGTTACTGTCTGCAGTTTCAGGAAATAATGGTTCAGCTGGGTTGAATTGTTTCTGGAACAATTTGAAACTGGATACAGCCCATACTGCAGTAAGATCTAGAGGGAAACTACTGTAGTCATTATGTTTGAACAGTATATTTACAACAGTAGACTTGAGCTTGCGGTGCACATCACTGCGTTTCAGGTGTGGATACAGTAGTTAATAGGAATTCAGTCCGAACTGTATAAAAAGTCCAGTCCTCTGCAGCTCAACGGAGTTACCCAGGTTACACGTAAGAGCACCAGCACCTCAGCGTACAGCCATTAGTTAGTGGCTCCCTGTTAAGAAGGGTTACTGAAACACCAGCACACAGACAAATATATAAATGAACACTTCCTGGACATGAGGCCACCACTGACAATGATGGACATTTGCTTTACTTTTTAAGGAGGGAAAAGCTGCTCCCGCTCTTCTGTTAGACTATCC